TAAATAAATAAATAATAATAATAATAATAATAATAATAATAATTAAAAAAAAAAATAATAATAATAAAAAAATATATATTATTTTGGGAACATTACTTTTTTTCATTTTTTTTTAAAAAATTGCATTGTGATATTCATTTCATGATATTTAAGCACATTTTCCCCCTCAAAGCAAAACAAAACACAAAACATCCCAAAAGTCCTGCAGGGGTACGTAAACAGATATATAAAACAAATAATTATTTTCAGAAAATTCTATATTTTATTGCATAAATTAAATTCAGTTCAACAGATAATACAATGATGCAAACTTACAATAGTACATTACCAATAGTTTATAAATTATATTATTAATAATATAATTAAGATATTAAAAAAAATAATAATATAATGGAGTTATAAAACAAATATTAAAGTATTTGTGTTAATATTTAATATTGTGTAAAGCAAATATTATATAATTATTTTTATAAATATTATAAATGTAAATATTATTTTGCATTACAGTAATTTTATCGCATTATCGAAGGTGACTACAATAATTTGGGAAGGAGTAAAATTTCCTTAATTGTCATGTCACAATGCAAAAATTCTTAATGGTCCTAAAATAGACTTATTTTCATTATGAAAATATACTTTTGTTTTCATGTGAAAAATGACCTGAACACTTCTTGACATTTTTCATGAGATTCACCCAATAAACATACATCTGAATAACAATGTCGACAGCGCAACATCTATTAACAATGGAGAATTATATTACATTTCCACAAACACACACTCCAGTCAGGAATAATCACAAACCTCAGCTCCCAAGATTCCTACATTTCTTTTTAATTTGACACAGATATCGCCCGAGGCTTCAGTTTACTGACATAATGTACTTGCATGTTTGCTCAAGATGAGCCGTGACTACATGATCCAAACACTGCCCCACGAGCGATTCAAGGGTCCGGCTGGATCCAGCATCCTCTCGCTGCATCTCCTGTGCGTTATGCCTCAATAGTACTCCATTTCCCAGCCCCACACACACACTAATGACTGTATTTATCTCATTAGGCTGGAGCGATCTAATACCGGCAGCTGGCATGCTAGCTCTGCCTTGCCCTTAAGCACGCTCATTAAAACCAGAGGGAGTCGTGGCCTGAATATCAATATGCTGCAGTCCTGCTCAATCTGCGTGAACGCAGCGCCAGTCATCACGCAACACAGAGCTCACATAACTCTACTTGATTATTGGCCACTCTACATCATGATACAGTACCGAGTGACCTGATCTAGTGTTGGATGATATGGTCATTTTTCAAATCGTCATATTGCCAGTCCGTGAGATCGCCGATAGATATTATCGTGCATGAGTGGGTGGGGGCACTGTACTACAATCTCTGTACTTGTCATAGGCTATTTCATAACTATTTGGTGTTTTAAACCGCGCGCGAGAGACAGAGCCTATGGAAGCACCACGAATCTAAATAATATACTTTCAAACATACTGGTAAACTAACATGTTAAACACAAAAATATTTAAAACAACTAGTTCATATATATTCGGATATAACAGTCATACATCGCTATAGGATCGCGCGTCCTGTGACAAGTTTGCCGCATCGACGCACGGAAGTTATCAGTCTGGTCTGCAAAATCAGTCAACGGTGAAAATCAAAAGTAGATTTATTTTAAAGACTAACAGTTTAACACTAAATATTGGACATAAACGAACACGTTAAATATAAAGTATTTAAAGCAGGTAAGTTAATATATTTCGAGTAAATTTAAATTAAACAGATACATCAGTCATACAGCGCTCCGGACCGCGCGCCCCATGATGAGCC